GAGGCAAAAGGTTGATAGGTTAACAAAATAATAATTAAACAGAGGCTAACAGGCTTAGGGCTGTGATGTTAGAAGGCTGGACACAACGGCATTTGGGGGCAGGTAAAGTGAATAGTGTAGATAAGGTCATTGGAGGTGTTAGGTAGGGTTTGTGCTATAGTTACCTGATTTATCGCATGAATTTCACCATTGTGGTATATATAAGGGTGTGTTTGTATGTGTACAAGCATATACGTGTGCATACAAGAGCCCTGTAAATGTTTTCATGTACATGTTTTCATATATATAACTTGGAAATATAGGTTACCCTTTAAGAAAGGGGATGCAGTGCTTTATTAATTGCTTCTGTGAAAGGAAACAGGAGTGCATTGGTTTTTTGCTGAGAGTCCCATGATTAACTTATTTCTTTTCTCCATACATAATCACAAAGTAACCTGCAGACAAGTTTCAGTGACTTAATAGCTGCTGAGAAGACAGCATGTCTAAGCTTGCAAGAGAATAAACTTCGCTGGAGAGAATGCAGCTGGATTTGTAGCTGCAGCAAGCCACTTCAGAAACTTGTCCCAGCTTGATTGAAAATTGCTTTCCCCGTTAGGTGGGAGGAGGTTTTTCTTTGCTGTTAGGTTTCTTTTTTCACCCACCTCATGCTGTTTACTCACCAGCTGAACCCTGATGAGATTTTATAAAGGGAAGAAGTCCCAAGCAAGAAATTTCATCGTATTCAAAACATAAAAGGATAGAGAGGAGATACTGTTACTAATATGATAAGTTCATTGCACCCTTAGTGTCAAGGTCCATTTTAAGGTTGTTTATAAAATTAAGTCAGGTTTTATGATCAGATCAGAAACCAATGTTATGTAGAAAAGAAATTTACCCCGTGTTTATCTTATGGGCTTTTTTAATCTGTGTATATATCGAAGTACTGCCATAATTTTAATCTAGTTGGGAAGTTTGTCTTTAAATTTACAAGATATTTATGCTGTATTTAAAAAGTGAGAAACTTATCTCAAATGTCATTTAGCATAAATTGATGCTAAGTATGAATTTGAAGCAAGAAAAAAGAAGACACCTACATATTTTATCACCAATCGAATTTTTATGGCAAATTACATACTTGAGCAGCTTCATTCATCCAGCCGAAGTCATTGCAGATGACCTTTTCCTCAGCAGACTCTGTCTGAACAGAATATTGTTCTGCTGTTAATTGTTTTGGACATAGTGTGTGAAAAATCTTAAGGGAGTTGAATTTTGTTGTTCAGGGTCCACAGTACATAATTTTGCTTGCATGTTTACTGCTGGCCTGTCAAAAGTATTTGAAGGAGTAAATTTCTCCCACAGATCAACTAATCATGAAAACAGTGTTGAGGTGTTTGATTGACATAGTGAAGCTGTTAATTTAGAGTGTATCAAGATCAAATGGAAGTTATTGCAATTAGGAAGTGATTGTGTTCTCAGTTGAAATTTTTAAATGCTGCATTTTAGATTTTTGTGCATTTTTATGCTGTCTCATTGGATGTATTAGGGAATTTATATGCTTTGTTACATTTAGATGTTTAATGTTCAACAGAACTTCAGCACAAATTTTACTTTTTTATAATAGCTGATATTTGACTGATTGTGAAGAGTTGCCGTACATGTAATGTTTGTGTACTCTAAAAGGCTTTGGGGAACAAAGGATTCAGCCAGTCTGAGGTTTTGGTGGTTTATTTTTGTTTTTACAACTTTGGTTCAAAATATTATGGTATCAGGCTAAAGTCTTCCTGCTTATTTCTCTGAGAATGGCTCCTTTATGACATGCTTAGAGGTTCCTGATCACTATATAGTTCTGATCCAAGCTTTGTATGTATGAAGTTGTATTCAGTATATCATATCTAGTAAGACCTTCTTTGGTACCATGGTGTGGCACAAATGTTAGAGTGGGTGTTTTTGTATCCATAGTCCTTGAATCTTAATGGTTCAGTTATTCTTGAAAGCCACATTTTTCTCCTAAGTATTCTTAGAAAAAATTGTGGGATATCAAAAAGGAATGCTTGTTCTCTCTGTTGCTTTCTCTTTTTAAAATCTATGTTCAGGCATATGGTACTGACAGATGACACACAGATTCTAGAGGGTAGGCGGCTTCTCATGTCCCTAAAATTGTGGACACAGGTCTGGGGGTGAAACAGGCTGGCTTAGTTGAAAAAGCTGTGGATACTTGATGAAGCCTTAGCCCAGTAATGGTAATTTTTTTCTTTGGATGAGTTGAGCAATTTTCTCATGGCTTCAATACTTCTGTTCCAGTGCTGAGGCTGCTGTTTCTCATTTTTTTCATGAGCATGATCTACTCACGTGCAGCTCTCAAGGAGCAGTTTGCTCCAGGTTTAGTCCTTAAGTTTCACCTGCACACTCAGATGTCTGTGGCCTGATACTAGCTTCTTTCCTTATTCACGGCTGTAGAAAACAAGCAAGCAGAAGCCTCACATTAAAAATAGTGCTGAGCTGATAATGCATCTCTTTGGTCTCACTGAAGAGAAGTAGCATAGAGGCCATTAGCCAAGTCCTTGGGGATGCTTACTGAGACGCTCTCTCCAATTGGCCCTTTGGCATACAGAAGTGCACCCGACGGGGACGGGCTGTGCGGGAAAGCAGTTTGGTTCTCTGTCCTGGAAGGGAGATCTCTGTGGCTGAAGTTCTTCCAGGTTTTTTAGAAGATTAGAAAATACTGGGGGTGGGTGGGGGGTGGGTGCTGATTGTAAATTTATGATAATAGTAGTAAAGAAAAATCCAGTAAGTTTATGTGCTTCCTTGGATTACTCATACATCCTACCTTGGCTTTATCTCCCTTTTGGCTTGCAAGCTTTTATTCCTTCTACTGTTTATTAAGGAATATGAAAGTGATCAGTGTTCCAGAAACTAAAAGGTAACGTGCATCTCTCTCAGATTGTTTTACTCTGCAGCCACCTGACAAAAGATGCATTCAAATGTATGCTGTAACTAGTGCTTTTGTGATGCAAGCAGGAAAATTAGGGTTGTAATTTTCCCCAAATTTGGGAAATATTTTTTAGATTCAGTATTTTTCCGTGGATACAGTGCACTTTTCCATTCCTGACAGCTAGCACAGATCATGCTGTTTCGCGTGGCCAAGAGATGTATTTGGATGTATTTTTTTTCATAAGTGAGCCAGCCTAGCTATGGCACTTAGATAGGGGGTGTTAATTTTTTTTTTTTTTTAATTGTTGAAGCATTATGCTTTGTTATAAACAAAAGATGGTTAGAGATGAGTAAATAGTGTCTAGTGCAAGGGAAGGGGTTGGTGAACACATTAAGGTTCATGCTTTTAACCAAGCGGGAAAAGATAGAGCTCCTGTTTTTCTTCCCTCGGCTGTTCCGGTTCTCTCAGCAGTCTGACTGCCTTCCCATGTGACATTTTCACATTGCATTTCTAGGTCAACGGTGACAAAACTAGCATGCTTGTGCCCAAATTGATCATCTCAGTCTGCTGTACTCCACATGGCTTTCACATCCATCTTTGCCGTAGTCTGTGTTTGAAAGAGCCTGTCAGCTTTGCATTTCCTCAGGTCTTAAAAAACAGAGGCGGCTCAGCAGGCGCACGTTAACTTCTCATGTGTCTTGTCCTACTCCAAGCATCTGGGAGTAGGAGAAAAATAGGAGTGAGCTTTGCAAATAGATGAGAGTGACATGGGAAATGTCGGTATAATATCAGTGTCGGTAAGGGAGGTGATGTATTTGCTTAGATTATGAAAAAATTGGCCAGATTAATTCTTCCAGAGAAGAACTGCCGACTGTTGGACATTAGTGGGCACCTTCTGGTGGACGTTCTCCTACTCTTTCTCCTTCACGTAGGTGAGAAAAAAACAGCACAGTTGGGTTCATGAGCATCTTTCTGGAGGCCAGAGAAAGGGACCACTGCAGAGAATTGCCTTTAAGGGCATGACTTCTTTCTTTAGTTGATAAAGTTATAACCAAAGGTGGTTATAACCGCTTTGTTATAACTGAAAGATGGTCAGAGATAAGTGGACAGTGTCTACCGCAAGGGACAGGGCTGGTGAACTGCCCATCCCTCCCATTCCTCATGAGCACTGCTCCTCAGGGCCTGACCCTTTTCTTTCCCGGGTGCTGTGCCTGTGCCTGCTGCCCCCACGAGTGCCACCGCTCTGGGAGGACACCGCAGGGCCCCCGTTCCAGCCTGCCACCACCCTGAGCTCCGCGGGAGGTGAAGCCAGAGGCCAGTCACCTGCGCTTGCACGGCTTTTGGGTGCACGGAAGGGTGTCGCTGAGCAGCTCCTTGCTGGGGACTCTGGCGGGCCTGGGGCTATAATTCCAGGTCTTCCAAACCCTGGAACCAGCCATTGTCCCGGCCAGGCTAAAACTGGGTGTGGAGGGCAGTGAAGAATCAAAGATGTGGGTAGAGGGACAGAGGTGAAGGGCAGAGCCGGGAAAGAGAGGAACACTGGTACTCAGAGCTGGGTTTCATGCTAAGCCTGGCAATAGCAGAGAGATGTGTGGTTGCAGATCTCAGCTGTGTAATTTTCTGTTTTTCCTAACACAGCTAGTTTTAAACGAAATGAGGTGAATGAGTAATTTTTTAATTTAATTTTCTCCCCATGACTGCAAAGCTACCATAGATGATGATGCTATTTTAAAAATTCTGTAGGTTTGCAAATAAGAATATATTTCTGATATGGCTTTCTTTTGGCTAATGAAATAGTAGCTTACATGTGAGTTGGTATTAATGGCACATGAAGTAATGACACGCGATTCAATTATTCTACTAGACAGAGAAACACTTAGACACATCTGTAAGATATTTCTGAATCTAGGCGTCAGTGTGGGTGATTGAAAATACACTATTTGTGCATGTTTCTTCAAACAATTACTGTGGAAAATATTGTGGCACTGTAGTTAAAAGCAGGGTTTTTTTTAATGGTAATAGCTGTAGGGGGAAGAGAATTCCGGAGGAGAAATGCTCTTCTATAATCCCATGCTAATCTTCCCGACAGAAAGCAGAAGAGGAGGAGCTTGTCCTCACACCTGATGGCACCAGGGAATTCCTGACATTTGAAGTTCCACTGAATGACTCTGGATCAGCTGGACTTGGCGTGAGCGTCAAAGGTAACCGGTCAAAAGAAAACCATGCCGATTTAGGAATCTTCGTCAAGTCCATTATTAATGGTGGAGCAGCATCCAAGGTAAGAGGGAACATCTGTGTACTTTGGTCTTCCTTGGTTTTCCATAAGGCTGTTTTGAAAATAACCACAGATTCAAGAATGAGATTGCTCTGTAACTAGCTTTTTCCAATTACAACATCAGAGGTGATATTTAGATTTCTTCTCAGATTCACATGTTTGCGCATCCCAGGATTTAAACAGTCCTTACAGATTCTGGGGAAGGATACAAGCCATCTCTGGTACCGTTCAATTAGTATGCTATTTGTGCAAACAGGTTGTGATAATAGCTTGCAGTCCAAATCTGTAATTGGAACAGACATTTCCTACAATGGCTGCAATGGAAGCTATTATACAAGTGTTCATTTGGCCAGAAACTATTAGGACTAAGCATAGTTGTTTGATTATTTTTCTTTTGTTTTTTTCCTCTCTCCAGCAGACTAAACTTTTGTGTGTGTTTTGCGTAACTAGCTATAAACTTTCCTTTTCCAGGATGGCAGGCTTCGTGTGAATGATCAGCTAATAGCAGTAAATGGAGAATCATTATTGGGCAAAACAAATCAAGATGCTATGGAAACCTTAAGGAGGTCCATGTCCACTGAAGGAAACAAACGGGGAATGATTCAGCTTATAGTGGCGAGACGAATAAGTAAATGCAATGAGGTAATATGCTTTTGATAACGGGACTGGGAGTTTTTACTTCTAAGGTATTTGTATTTATAGGAGATGTCACGTTTCCTCTGAGACCTGGAAAATAATATTTGAGAAGCTAAAGAAAGAGAGAATTACAAAATGATCTGAATTTCAGTGTTAGACATGCTAACCTTATTGCCGATCAATAAAGTTTTCCTTTTGAGTATTTTCATCAATGAATAACAGGAAGCACTGAATAAAACTATATTGATTTTGTAATTGGATCCCACTGTTTACGTGATTTTTGTTCTTTGGAGTTTTTTATGTAGGTCTATTGAATCTTTTGTTTATAGAGTTAAGTGTTAACTGACTTGCTTCTTTGTCACTTTCAGTTTTTTTAATTAAGTGTAGAGCTTTTACATTTCATTATTATATTTCATCTAAGCAATTGAATGTTCCATGTAAAGATTCTGCAAAACCTGATGCAAATAATTCTGTTATTTTGGATTTAAAATATGTTGTGTCTTGGCCGTCATTGCAGGGAATTATGAAATACTGAATTCAGGGTGAAGTGGTGATTCTTTTTCTGCTATTTGCAACTTCTGTCTCCTCCAGTGCAATGTTAATGTGTTAATGTTTTGAAACATATTAATGGTTTCTAATAGTTTATCTTCTAGATTAATGTAAAATATGCTATATAGTAGGAATATGTGGGCATATGATACTGATAAGGACTGCAGATGCTGTGGAGGACTGAATTAGACTTCAAAATGATTTTGACAAATTGGAGAAATGCACTGAGTTAAATAGGTTGCAGTTGAATGGTGGGTCAGGGAAGCATCTGTTCTTACGACATCTAAAAGTCATTCTTTTATTCTTGTTAACACCGGTAAGGTCTTATTGGGAATGTTATTTCTTGAGCATCATGCTTCAAAAATGATGTGCAAAATTGGTTTAGTACTGCTGATCCTGCCTAGGGGGAAAAGGAATGGTGTGTTTTTTAATGCATAAAATTGATCTTTAAAAAATTCCAGGCCATAGTGAATTATAAAATCATGTTTGAAAAAGGCACTAGCCTCTCTAGAAGTAGTAAGTTCCTCTTGATTCACTGCTTATACACAGCTTTAATACCCATACACACATGTTTATATATACACACTGCTGGAAAGCCAGCTTGGATGCACATGGTTTCTCACTTGGTGTTGAAGGAATTCTGGCCTTTTCGTATTTGGTGATGTTCTGTTCTAGCCTTAATTCTGAACTTGCACTCCAGACTGTTCTTTGGAGACTGTTCCTTGTTCCTACCCAATTTCAGATGCATTTTATATGTTACTAAATAAAAAGGGTGAAATATTTTAGAATATTTCTGTGTTTAGTATAATTTTTTCAAAAAGAATGTAGAAGGTGTTCACTCTTGTTTTAGTGAAATCTTCTAGATCAAATATATCAAGACAGTGTTTGTAAACATGATGGAGCAAATCCAGCGATGATGAACCAAAGACATTGCTCCTTAAATCCGATAGAATTTTTGCTTGTTCAAGTTAAGATTAGTTTGGTGCCCCACATCTGTTTGACATTTAGTGTGATTTGTATTGCAGAAATCACATGGCAAAAAAGGCACAGCTCAGTCTACAGTATGTGTGCTCCAAGATGAAAGAACGGATGTTAGAACCAGATTTTGATACACTGAAATGTATCTGTAGAGGGAGCAGGATGGGGAGCTGTGTCTGTCTGGGCCTACTATACAATTTTTTATGCATTTTCCCAAATCCTTAATAAGCTAGTGAGATGAGCCATAATGATTTGAGAAAGTGATGATATGCAATTATTGGTGTAGTGATCATGTTTACAAAATAATTTTTTTAAGTATTTTTTCCTCAGGAATTACTGCTTTTGTATATCTAAAGGAAATACAATGTATATACTGTTTGCATATTTTAATATGATGAAAGCACAACTTGCATGGACATAAAGCTATTTACCTGCTGAGCTGGCAGTATTCAAGAAACCAGTTTTCTGAAAGTCTTGCAATGCCCAGACTTCAATGAAATGAAAAGTGAAGAGAGAATTTTTTTTTTGACACTTTGCAATTAAACTCTACTTTCTTACCCAAGAATTGGATGGTTTTAAACTTTAGATATTCTTAATCTGATACAATACTAATAAGCTATGATAATATTATTTATGTATCTTGCATGAATATCATATATGAGTGTGGTATTCAGTTAGCTTAGCCTCTAAGTGATGGATGTGTGGACTAAGACCCAGTTGGAGAGCAGCATTGTGCAACAGAGCATTGCAGTGATACTCACTTTCCCATGGAGCATCAGATACTGGCCGTGTCTGGCAGCCTCAGCTATATTATGTTTAATTCAGCAGTGTAGGTTACTTAGATGCACTGGTACGCAAGTTGTCCCCTTCAAGTATTCCTGTAGCTGCCACCAGCCTAGTATACAGTCTCAGCAAAGATTTTTAGTATTAGAACAAAAAAGAAATGACATCTGACTGGTGGCAAATTCAGGAGCTTGCAGATTAGAAGTAAAAGCTCAGAAGGGCAGACCCTATCTTGATAAATCACACCTTTTACCAGTGTAGAATTGTAGAATCATAGACTTGTTTAGGTTGGAAAAGACCCTTAAGATCATCGAGTCCAACCATTAACCTAACACTGCCAAGTCCACCACTAAACCATGTCCCTAAGTGCTACGTCTGCACTTCTTTTAAAATCCTCCAGGGATGGTGACTCAACCACTTCCCTGGGCACCTGTTCTAATGCTTGACAAACCTTTTGGTGAAGAAATTTTTCCTAATATCCAACCTAAACCTCCCCTGGCACAACTTGAGGCCACTTCCTCTCATCCTATCTCCAGCCACCTGACAGAAGAGACCAGCACCCACCTCACTACAACCCTCCTTCAGGTAGTTGTAGAGAGCGATAAGGTCTCCCCTCAGCCTCCTTCTCTTCAGACTAAACAACCCCAGTTCCTCAGAAATGGGGTTTTACTGTTTTTTCTTAAAGACAGAAAAGAAATGTTTACCTTTTGAGAAGGTATTTTCCTGGTGTTTTCTATGCTTTTCTCTCTCTTTTGGTTCTCCAAAGGAGTCACCATAAAATAACAGCAACAAAAAAGATCCTGTTCAACTGATTTCTTTCCTGTGCTGATTCTGCATTGTATGTGCTCACTTTATGGACAAAAGTATAGCTTACACTCTTGTTAGTCTTGCAGAACCAGAGGTAAGTGGAACGAGCTTGATTATATTCCCTTTGTGCATCGCCAACATGTGTTCATTCTGCTCCATTCCAGTGGCATGGTCAGTCCTGCATCATGATGTGAGGTCAGGACTCGGCGCCCTGAGATTCCCTGCCATGCCACAGAGCAGCTACAAGTGTTTCAGAAGGGGAATCTGTACAAGGGGTGATAATGCCAATGCTCAACATATGGATGACAAAAGCATTTGCTATCTGGATGTTAAAAAACCAACAGCAAAAAGAACAAAAAAAAGAAGACTTTTTTTTTCCCGTAGCTTCAAGTCCAGTGATAGTTTTGCATTTGCGAAATCAAACTGAGTTCTTTTGAGATAGATAGGCAACCCAGTCTGCTTTTTTCTTTAGTAAAATTGAGTTTGAATTGGATTTTAAGAAAGTTAGTAGTATGAATACTGTTCTTTTGTTTTTAATATTCATTTTCATTATCAGCCCTAAGAATTGCGGGGGAGGGGGGGATTCATTTGACAGCATGGTTCTGCAGAGTGCCATTTCTCTGTGTTTCAATTCACACCTGAATTTTCATGTGCTTTTTGTATTTTGGTTGCTGTCTAGAAGAGAGGACGGCTCAGTCTCTGTTGTCCTGGGTTTAGAGAGGCAGGGACAGTTGCCTCCAATGTGCTGCAGAGGAACTGTTTCTTTGTCAGAAAGCTTCAAAAGTCAAAGTCTACTTAACTTGAGCATGAAACTGTTTCAAAAATTTGTGAAGTGACCTCTGATACTCCTTTTTCATGCCAGCAGTATTCTCATTTAGCTTCACCAGTCCTCATGTTGTAGACTAAGCCTCCAAAGCAATTATAGTAACAATAAAAATGTACATAAACACCATAAGAGTATTCTCTTGTCTTCAGAGAGGTAGTGAGGAGATCATTTACATCATCAGCACTTACATAACTGTAAGCTCAAAAAAGACCACAAAGTTCCCAGAAGGTAAAAAGCATTTTAATGCTGTTGTGGTTTTACTGAACTGAAGAGTTGCCTGTAGAAAGAATTTTCATCGACTCACCAGGAGATAGAGTATAATCCATCCAGGTTTTCGAGTGAATTATCTTGTAGTAAATACTGATATAAGCATGGAGTGAATGGTAGTTATGAATGAACTCCAAGCCAAAACTGTGTATCTGAGTTTTTCTCCTGCTTGCATTACGTCTACACAGAGTACAGTAATATAGTTAATTCTGTAAGCTGCACTACTACAAAACTTGCAAAGCTTTGTTTAATATCTCAGCCACTCCAGAGAAAATCACACAGTGAATATTTGATGGATGCTGTTAGATTAACGTAACAAAAACATTTAGTTTGGGATTTGGATATATCTAAGTCCCCCCCCCCCCCTTTCAAAAAAGTTAAATATACTGTTCTAATCTATGTTTTCAACTTTCAGCCTTGCCCTCTGTGATCAGCATTGTGTGTTGACTCTTCAACTTTCCTATATAAGCACAGAGAGACTTTAAGGTACATTTCCAAAGTTGTTCAGACAGTGGCAAAGATGGGAAGAATAACAATAGTATTGACTTGATACTCATATACAGCCCGTATTTAACACCTCAGTTTTAAGAAGACGTGGCCATCAGCTTTTTAGATCTTTAACTCGGGCTTGACATTTTTTAAATTACTAAGATTTAAGGAGAAACACTGGAGCTCCTTGTGCCATGTTCTGTTAATTAGTGATATTTTTATGATTAGCCTGTATGGGCAAAGAGCTGCTGGCTGTATGGCTGTAATGCATACATAGCGCGTAGGCACAACTGTCAGGCAGATCCGT